CGTCAGTGGAGACACAATGAACTGGAGGTTAGGGAGGGTTAGATTAATAGCCTCAGCTATTTTGGTCTGTCTTTACTGCTTTAAGGTGTTATTTATGGATGATTTAGGCCTATTGTTGTTGTTGTTGTTGTTGTTATTTTGTTGTTGTGTTTGCTGCTGTTGCTGTTGCTGCTGTTGCTAATATTGCTGCTGTTGTAAATATTGTAGATGTTACTGTCGATAGGGATGCTGATGGTGGTGGTTAGTAAAACAATATTGCCCATATCCCATTCACATGATATACCGCAGGCTTATACCCCCTCATTTGCCCTTTCGTACATTCCAAGTTCATACCACTCACCTGTTTCTCAATCTGAGAACATGTACTTGAGTGCCATGTATACTCACTTGAATTTCTACAGTGGAAACAGATATCTAAGTTTCTGGAAAACGAAGACGTCAAGAAATTGAGACTATAATACGAGTAAATATTTGTTCTTGAGCTTTTGCTGGACTTACCATTGCTTTCATCGAAGTTCCCAGACGTTAAAAACAACCCTGGGTTACTTTTCTCCCTGCTAATCAATGTTCTTGACTGGATTGGTACGTTGCTGCCAGTAATGCTATGGTCTTGAGAAAACCTTTCTCCTCCTCTTGATGGCGGAGCTCCTCCCCTAGATGGAGGGACCCCGCCCCTTGAAGGCGGAGGCTCCGCAATGGGTGGTGGGATTCCACCCCTGGAGGGCGGAGCTCGGCCTCTTGAAGGGGGAACCCCGCCCCTCGAGGGTGGGGCATCTGTTCTGGAGGCTGGGATGACGGTCCGAATTGAACCTCCTTTAGCTGTGAGTCGGTCGTGGACGATACTGTTTGTGGATGATAGGCTGTTTGCATAGTTTTCTGAGTTGTTATAATTCTGCTGTCTTAAATATTCCTGGCGAGCTGAAAAAAGAATAAAAGAAATAAATTGCAGTTAATACCGCCTGTCAATCATGACTTTCTCAAAAACAAATACTAAATCCATAGGCATCCAATAACCAGGGTTTGCAACAGTCAGACTTTTGACTTTTTTGGTAGGCTGCTTGTCTTATCTACAGGTGT